GTTGGGATGAATCAGGACGCACAGAGGCTGCCTTCATTCAGGACCCCGGGGCACTGACGGATTCTCCGGAAACAGCTTGCATTTTTGGACAGGTGTTTTGCAAATGGCCCGGGGGTGTGTGTGTGGGGGGGTCAGGGATGCAAACCCAGGGGCAGAGAGCAGCACCCCTCCACAGCGCCGCTCAGCCGGCCGGCCGCCCTCCCAGCCTCCGGCGCTCCGTCCCAACACCCTGCTCCTTCCTGTCTCCTCACCTATGCCGACTCCCACCCCACTCAGCTCTTCCAGTGTCACAAACAGGATGATTCATGCCAACCGCTGGGTCTGTGACTCATGTTCCATCAAGGTATTCAGACACAGCACTGATCTGTGAACCCTGAACTTGAACACCCTCAGGTGAGGGGCTGCCCTCACTAGCTGTGTGACCCTGGACAAGTCACTGAACTTCTCTCTTCCTCAGTTTTCCCTCTGAAACACGGGGATAGTGACAGCACCTAAGGCAGAGGGTCGCTGTGGGGTATCACCGAGTAACGCTTCACATAAAGCACCCAGCGTGCCCAGCATGGAGTAACCGTACACGTCGTTTGTCTTATTGTCTTAAAGTACAAAAACAATACTGCACCGTCCTCATAATTCATAAGAGCACTACTGGTCTTTCAGGAATTTCAAAAGGTGCCTTCCAGATCCTGAAAAAAATGTGTGTATCTATTCATTCCATCCCCCTCCCGGCGACTGGTGGGCTTTAGCAGGTGTGCCTTTAAATGTGCATTACTGAATTTCTCCTGAAGTAACAGAGTGAAGTTCGTGAGTATTTATAGAAGAGGCTTAATGAAGAACTCCAATCTGCTATCTGCCAGATCACAAGCAACGAAATTCTAACACCACTGAAACAAACCCTCCACACGCCTTTTGCTTCCCGGGACGCCTCTCTGGTGCGGCACCGACCGGTGACACGCAGAGGCGACCCCCACACTGGTGGTGGGGGGGGCTCTGTCTGCCAGGGATGGCGTCTGCTAATAGCCACCCACCTACACTTCTGGTCATTCCACCGGGCTGGGCTGGGCTCACTTCGGGGGCCAGAAAGACACACCTCACACTTCACTGCAGAGCGAAAACGAGGCAGTGAGCAGGCCAAGGTCATTCGGAGTAGGTGACAGCCAGGAAGAGCACCCAAGGGTTTTGACTTCCAATCACAGGACACAGACACACGCCTCTCATCTGATGCAAGTGCCCTTGAGCCCGGCCGGGAGCCAGACGGGGGCGCCGGGAAGGCAGCAAGCCCCAGGCGCTGAAAAGGGGGAACCAGAGGACAAAGAATAAAGTCACAGAGTTAGCTGTGAGAGCCCACACGCGCTGTGATCCTATCTGAACAAAACGCAATTAGATGCGCTCAGTCCTGCATCTTGGGTGGCCTTACATAACTTCTTCCTATTATTTCGCTGAGGACAATCACTTTTAATGGGCCCGGCACCTGGGCAGGTGAGGCAAGCAAACCTCACGTGCCGTGATGCTACTACACCTAAGTAGTTTTCCTCCCGGAAATCTGGACTGAGTGGGAGCCAAAAATAAACCGAAAAGACAATTCCCGAGGGACGTGTCATCAGAGACGCTACACACGCGCGCCTCACAAAAAGCAGGGTGATTACGGACGCGGCTTTAATTTAGAGACATTAGATCTCAAACCAGCTGAGACTCCAAGTGTGTGGCAACTTACAGCAACAGACGGCACCCAGGGGCGGGGCACCCAGGGGCGGGGAGCGCTGGGGCACCAACAGGAAGGCCCGGACCGGGGCGGGGGCGGGGCCGCCTGGCTCCTCCCCACGGGGCGGGGCCGTGCGGCCCAACAACCACAGGTGCGGGGGAGGGGGGTGGGGCGTGCAGAGGCCAGGCCAGGCCAGCGCTCCAGAAGGCCAAGGGGCCCGACAGCAACGGGCTTGACTCAAACATGTTACTCAAGGGATGACCGCAGATGGGGAAGGAGCGAGTCTCCGCAAAGGAGACGTGTGGCCGGACGGGGACAGTTCCCGGTGCCCGAGTCCGCCGCCACGCTGCCCACGCAGGAGCTGGGACGGCGAGGGGAGGGAGGGCGCCAGTCTCGGGCTTCTTCCGGGTCCTCAAGGGGCTGGACCTGGGCTGCGGGGCGTCCCCGGAACTGGACCACGCCGTCCGCAGTTCTAAGGGAAATCGACCTGTTTCATTTCTGTTGGTCCAAGCTCCGGAAGTGATCGGAAGGGGGTAGGGCTCATCCGTCAGCCTCTTCCCCTCTCTTTCTGAAATTTGTCCATCAAAAAGTTAAAGGACCTTAAGAGACTAATATTAAGCCTTTACTCACTGCCCACCAAATTAACATGAAAACGACAAAAATACAGCCTACTCCTCCACCCTAGAAGGACACCATTTTTAAATTCCAGCAGGCGGCCCTGGCCAGGGTGGCCCGGCTGGGCGCTGTCCTGCAGAACAAAAGGTCGCCGGTTTGATTCCTGGGCAGGGCAGGTGCCTAGGCTGCCGGGTCAGGCCAGTCCCCGGTCAGGGCGACCTGTCGGCGTCTCCCTCTCTTTCTTCCTCCCTGTCTCTAAAAAGTAAATAAATAAAATGTAAAAACTCCAAAAGGTGGAAACTTCAAAAAGAAATGTTTCCCGAGACCGTCACTACATTACTCTACCAATAACTGGGTTCTCAAATCCCAACACCAGACCCGCGCCGGCGGCAGCACCAGAATCTGAACGCTCCGTCTTGGTGGCATGGCCCCACCTGCACAGCACGCTGCCCCCTCAGCGGACTGATGAGGAGTGGGAGGTGAGGAGGAAAGTCTCCTCAGACCACAGCGCTGCACACAAGGACCCACCTTACCCCCCCCCCAGTCGGCAGCTGGGAGACGCGTTCAGCTGACCAGGGCCATCGGCGCCTCTGGCTTCCCGGAACGGAGAGCGCCCTCTCAGCGACACATTTCCTCCCCACACAAACCCACCCTCAAGTCTTAAAAGCGGGTCCTGCCCCCCGCTGATGGGTGCTACGTGCCAGTTTCCCAGGATCCCTATGCTCCTCAGCGAAGCCCAGAAGCTGCAGAAGCTGCAGAAGCTGCAACGGGCCGGAGAAGAGGAACCGCCGCCAGTGGGGCCACAGAGGATTTCGACCAACTCACGGCGAGTCCCACGAGGGCAGCGTCGAGGTACAGCCAAGCTGGTGCCCCTAAGTTATTTTTCCTTCCGTTCCAAAACTGCGGTGTTTTAGGTCAGACTTCGTCTGACGACACTCGGGGGTGGGGCGGAGGGAAGAGAACCGTCAACAAAGTCAACCACCACCGAAGTCAAGACAGACTGGGGCGACTGATAAACAGGGCGGCTCCGGGGGGTCGGTGGGGCCTGTTTCCCTGTGCACCGGGGGGCAGGAGGCCCTGGCCGAGCCGAATGAGTTGCATTCCTGAAGTCACAAACCTTTAGTAAAGACGGTTAGGGAGATACATTAAAAAAACAAAACAAAACAAAACATGGAGCGATACCAGCGCCCACTCGCTGGTATGACCACGCACAAACAGTGCACAGGGCAAAAATCTCTCCCTGACAAAACAGCACTGGTGGTAATTTTTAACACAAGTACTCTGCTGCGAAAATAGCCTCTTCCAAGTACTTTTACCCACGAACTTATAGTTTTCTCTTCGGGTCGGAGAAGCTGTCGCCTTTCTAGAGGAAGCAGGGTCCTGTGTGCGGGTGTGTGGCAGTGGGTGCGCGTGTGTGTCAGTGGGTGCGCGTGTGCTGGCGGGGCAGGAAAAAAGACCCTGCGGGTGTCAGAAGTCGCTTCTGCCTCCAGGAAGTGGACCACAGATTCTTTCTGGGCATGGGGGCCTTGTCCTCTGCCCAAGGCCTCCTCACACACCCCCTGCGCAGTGTGGCGAGAAGCCCTGTTCCTGAGGCCATCGTCTCCCAGTCTGTGAGAACCCAGATTAACTTCTGAAGTGCCCCCCCCACCCCCCACTGCAGTACCCAGCGGCTGAAACCACCCAGACCTGATTCTGGCTTAAAATGCTGTCTTGGACGGGAGGACGTGGAGAAGGGGTAGAAGACACAGGGCTGTGTGTGTGTGCAAATCACTGATATGGGGCTGTATGCGTGTGCAAATCACTGATGGGAACTGACACTCAAGAAAACAAGACACCAAAAGCCACCAAACCAACCTCGGCTCCTGGTTTCAGGTTTCCGACGATAAAACCCTTGCTTTGGTGAGACTGCAATATTCACCGGCCTAGCTGGAATGCCAGACGGGAATCTGGTGTTTGTTCCACAGCCCCGGGTCAAGAACAGCCTTCAGGTTTGCATCTGTGGTTCTACAGCATTTTTTCCCCCAAGAAGTCCAACTGCACTCAGGAGTCATCAATCCCAGGCACAGCTGTCACGTCCCCCTCCCCCAGGACTATTAATATCACAGCTCTGATTCTTAGTGATTTTACTCACAAAGTTCCCCGCAGCAATTACAACGCGACAACAAGGTAAAACAAAAAGGGGTTAGGCTTTTTCACCCATAATAATGCATGCTGCAACCTAGTGAACTTCTTGGGTGTTTACGTGGTCCCGGATTTCCACCTGTATTGTATCTCCGTTTCGGAATGCCTACCACCACCACCACCACCACCCCGGCACCTGCCGGACACGGCCCTCCCTTCTGGATGCACAGCACAGTATGGAGCTCCTGGGAGGGAGCAAAACGCCGCCGCCCTGGTGTCATGCCCGGCGCGCCCCACAGCCCGAGGAGCCCCCACGGTAGTGGGTCCACGTACATAACCTTGAGGCCCACACCACACCCTCCTTCGGCTTCGAAGTCCCTTCGCGTGAGGGGTGGGGGGGCCAGGGCTGGTGCAATGACTTTGCACGGGAGCGGACCTGCGCTGAAGCTCGTCCTCCCACCTCGGCCCACTGCAGAGGCACTGTTCCGGACAGCGCCGCGCACCCTTCCCCTCCCGGCCCAGGGCTCCGGCAGGCAACTGCCCTCCGCCTCCCGGCCCGCCGCACCTTGGTCTCCTTCACGTGCTGCTTGACGCCCTCCGGGTACCACTGCACGCGCACGTAGCCGCGGCGCAACGGGCTGGCCCGGCCCTCCTCGTGGCCCGCGCCCCCAGCCTCGGAGCAGCCGGAGCTCCCGCGGCCCTCCTCTTCGCCCTCCGAGTCCGAGTCCTCGCCGTGGATGAGGCGCACCAGCCCGAAGTGCACGGAGCCGCGGTAACGGCCCGACACCAGGTCGTGAGAGAACAGCAGGCGCTGCGAGCCGGCTTCGGGGCCGGAGTCCGAGGACGGACCGGAGGCCGAGTCCGGGGCGGGCGCCGGGGCCGAGACCGGGGCTGCGTCCGGGGCCGCCTCCGAGGCCGCGGCTGGGGCCTGGGCGGGAGCCGGAGCCACAGGCGCGAGCGCTGCGGAATCCGCCATAACTGCTCTGCGCGAGTCTCGGGCTGCGGCGGCGACGGCGGCGGCGGCGGTGTCGGCGGTAGCTGCGGCGGCAGCAGCGGCAGCGGCGGCCGAGAAGCGAGGAGGCGGGGCCAGCCGGCGCCGGGGGCGGGGCCACGGCGCGCTGACGTGGCCCTACGTGCCCCCCGTCGTCAGGGCACCGAGATGCGGTTGCTAGGAGTTACCGCCTCGTCGCTAGGGGACGCTGGAGATGCTGCCGGAAGCGGGGTGGTAGGGTGGACTCCACGAGGGAGGGGCGGAGCCACAAGGGATAAAAGTAGAGGAAGCCGCCGGGGGTGCGGACCCAGGTGGAGGAAGTGCAGTGGGCCCCGAGGAAAAGGGGAGTGGAGGGGGTGGGGCAGAGGATGGCCCTGAGGCTGTCAACAACAGTCAATGAGCTGCTTTGGTGTCTGAGGGCTGCAGCAAGAGCATGACAATCCCTCTCTTCTAGGTGTTTACAATCTAGTTGGAGAGGAAAAAAAACATTAAACAGCTAAGAAGCGACTCCATGTCAACTTGTAAGCAAGGCATTAATAGGTATTTATAGAGTGAATCTAAAGTATATTGTGGCAGGAGGGGGATACAAGGGGACTAAATGGTAATGGAAAAACATAAAGATTAAATGAAAAATGGCCCTGGCCAGTGTGGCTCAGTGGATTGAGCGCTGGCCTGCGAACCAAAAGGTCACTGGTTCCATTCCCATTCAGGGCACGTGCCCGGGTTTCAGGCCAGGTACCCAGGTACCCAGCTGGGGGCGTGTGAGAGGCAACCAATCAATGTGTCTCTTGCACATTGATGTTTCTCTCCCTCCCTGCCCCTCTCTCTAAAAATAAATAAATAAAATCTTTAAAATAAATAAATAAATATGCCCTGGCTGGTGTGGCTCAGTGGCTTGAGTGCCGGACTGCAGACCAAAGAGTCGCTGGTTCGACTTCCAGTTGGGGCACATGCTTGGGTTGCTGGCCAGGTCCCTGGTTGGGGGTGTTTGAGAGGCAGCCAGTTGATGCTTCTCTCCCGCTTTCTCCCTCCTTTCCCCTCTCTCTAAAGATAAATAAAGAAAATATTTTTAAAAATTAATTTAAAAATAAAGTATATCGTATTAAGGAATTTCATGCAAAGCTTGGAAGGTGATGTTTGCTTGGGGCTGGTCAGGACGCTGCTGAAGGAGGCCCACAGAGGCCAGAGAGCACCAGCACGTGTTAGTGACCCCTGTGGTTTGCCCCTAACTCCATCTAGATGAGTTCAAAGCTCTGTGAGGCTTGTTATACACGGAAAGAGGTAAAACAGCCAGACAGTTGATAGTGGGCGTCAGAGAGTCTAATTTTTGGCACTGCCACTTACTAATCTTATACAGGTGGGCAAGCTGATAAACTGCTTTTCGCCTTAATGTTCTCATCCGTAAAATGGGAGTGATACCAGCAGTACCTGTCTCATTGGGCAATTGGAAGAATGCAATGAAATAGAACGGTGCCTGGCATTGACTTCCCTCAATAAAGCTTAACTATTGTTTTAACATTTCAACCGTCCCACTCCCACCTACACCAAAATTCTAGATTGGCAGAACTGTGATACTTATGGTCTGCCTCATATTGCCATTTAAAAATATAGGAAGTCACTATACTAGCTCAGCGCCTAAGGTCACATGGTAGTGACTGGCAGGTGTAAATTGGACCCCAAGTTTCCTGACTCCAGGCTTGTGTAATCCCTATGTCCTCTGGAGAATGGGGGCGTGCAAGTGGGCTGAAAGGGCAGGGCAGTGCAGGCCCGAAACCGTTGGTGTCAAAAACCCAAGTGAGTTTTGCATTCTACATCAGCTTATGCCTGTGTTGGTTATAAAAAGAACGTCCTTTCCTCCCTAATCGTTGAGCAAAATTGGCACTCCCGAAAGATGTTCCATGTTTATTCTGCAGCTTCTTGTACTAATGGCTAATAATAGCTACCATTTATTGAGCGGCGACTTAATGCCAGGTACTACACGGAGTGCTCCGCATAGATTATCCGCCTGTGAGGGCGGAAGCCTGAGCCCCCTTCGGGGCAGCACCGTGCTGCGCTGTGCTGTCCCCCCACACACACACCAGGACCCCGCTGGGCGGTAGGTAAGAGTCCTCGATTTCAAATACTGATGCTTCCCTACTGAACCCCGCTTGAGGAGGTGGGTCAGGTTGTATTTACGTGTGTAACCCTGGTGCCTGGCGCAGCACCTGGCCCAGCGCCCTGTGATGGGTATGGAAGGCCTGAGATTCCTGTTCCTCCCCTCGGTTAGTTCCCCGGGAAACACAGCCCCCGCCCATACACCCAGGGGGCTGCTCTGCTGTGTCTCAGCCCTCTCTGTTGCCCCCATTTTGAGCTGCATGTGAGCCCTTTGGGGGGAGAAAGGCTCAGGATACTCCTCCCCACCTCACTGTGTCCTTCAGTGACCTCAGTCGGACCTGAGATGCTCTGGACGTGGTTTCAGGCTCGATTCCTTCCCGGGCTCCGAGCCCCCAGCTACAGCCGCTGCACTCTCAGACTGGCGGGTGGGGGTGAGCCCGGAGGAGAGCGCCTGCTTTGTTTTGATTTTCAAAATAGTTGGATGGAAAAAAAACAACCACTCAAAGACTTCATTCCCCAGTAGAGAAACCCCTTCCTCTCGTGGCCCCAACACCCAGCCCTTCTTGGGGGCTACAGATGCTCCTCAGGAGAATTTCAGTTATTTACAAATGTGCCTGCCGGAAGCTGAGCCGGCCTGGCCACTCCCCTTGCTGAAGGAACTGGTGTGGTTCGGGAGGCAGTGGAGCTGGCAGCAGAGTGCCGTGATCTAGGGGAAGCAGACCTCGCCTTATCCCTATCTGAACCGGCCACTGGGCCACTTCTCCAGACGCACAGAGTGCCCACGGGCCCCACACTGCCCCCTGGGGGAGCCTCAGCCTGCCTGCCTCTCCAGGCCGCCTTGTGCAAGTGCACCCACCCTGGAGCCGATGTTTGGGGGCTCTAGGGTGCCTTGACTGCTGGGGACTTCGGCTGGAAAGGAGGGGTGGAAGGGGAGCTACCCCGCAGAGCCCCCCCCCACACCTTTAGTGTCTGGCTGGAGGAGCGCCTCTGCCAGAGTCTCCAGCTGTGGGTTGCTCAATAATCAAGGGCCCTCTTAGGTATGAAGTCTCCCAAGTGCCCCGTTCCCCAACTGTCCCCTTGCTAACCTGGTAATAGCTGTGTGACTGTATTTCTTACCCTCTGTTATAGCATTACCTCACTACTGTGTCTCCCCTGGGACTGTGAACCTTGTGGACAGGGACCGCGTCTTCATTTCTGTATCCCAGCAGCTGGCATAGGTCTGACCCATAGCCAGAGGTATGGTGGTCAATCGATTTCTGTCTGTCTTTCCTCAAGTCCCCAGATCTCCATATTTTTAAAAGATTTTATTTATTTTTAGAGAGGGAAAGGGAGGGAGAAAGAGAGGGAAACATCAATGCGTGGTTGCCTCTCAAGCGCCCTCTACTGGGGACCTGGTCCACAACCCAGGCTTGTGCCCTGACTGGGTATTGAACCAGCGACCCTTTGGTTTGCAGACCAGCGCTCAGCCCACTGAGCCACACCAGTCACACACACACACACACACACACACACACACACACACACTGCTGCTCTCTCCTAAAGGCCTTCCGTGTCTGTAGCTGCGCCACCCACCACCGTGCCTCTACCCACATGTGACTCCTGAGCACCTGACGTGTGGCTGGGCTGAACTGACATGTGCCGTGAGTGTAAAACACGCACTGAGTTTTGAAGACTTGGCACCAAAAAAGAAGTGTAAGATATCTCACAATTTTGCACTGATTAATTGTTGAAAGACTTTATATGTATTCGGTTAAATAACATATATTATTAAAATCACTTCACCTGTTTCTTTGCAGCTACTAGAAAATGGAAAATCATGCCTGGGGCTCGCACCATGTTTCTACCGGACAGACAGAGGGACTGCAGTCACTCAGGGAGATGTAGGTCCCTTTTTCCTCCAGAAGGTGGTGATCTCTTTTGCCTTTGACATCATTCCAGAAAGGTCTGGAAGGTTCCTGAGCAAATGCCTCTGTACTACGGCAGAACTGAACCCTAGACAAGGATGGGTCCCACTCAGCCCGGCAGTGAACCAGCCTATCTACGCAAAGGGGGCGTCAAAATAAACCCCCAGGCGGTCACTCAGTCCAGTGCCCTCCTCACCGAAGAGTGAGTGTTCACAGACCCCCACAGTGCGGGTGGCGCAGGGCCACACTTCCAACACAGTCTCTGTCTTCCAGGGGTTGCCAGCCTCTGGGGGAACTGTGGTGCGGAGCCCAAGTCCATCTTGAGGTCCAAGGAGCTCCTCCCCCCTCCCCCCCACCCCCTGTTGCTAGGCGTCCAGCCGCCGAGGCTCACAGGTGCATCCCTCCCCAAGGACTGCCCTCGGCTGAAAGAGGATGCCTCGCCCCTCCCAATGACCATCTGTACAGGGGACGGAAGCCTGGCCCTGGCTTCCATTCAGGACATCTGGGGAGGGCCACCCCAGCTTCAGAGCTCCTCCTGGCCTCACCTGAAGCTTCTGCTGCATCTGTGTCCCCCCGCCCCAGGCCAACATCCCCCCTGGGCCACGCTCCCTCACAGGTGTTGGCCCAAGCGCGCTCCCCACAGACCTCTTCACGGAGGACTCGGAGTCAGAGAGTCTATTTCCTCGGGGATGTCACCTGGAGCAGCAGGTGGCGCCAGGTGTGGTCCTGGGGCATCGGCCCTAAAAACAGGAATCCCGGGGCCTGCTGATGGCTGGTAGGCGGGCTCTCCTGCACCCCGGCAGGCCGTAGCGGTGCAACTGCTAAAACTTCCGTGGGCTGTGAACTGGGATGGGATACCAGTGGAAGGACAGGGTGTCAAGAGGTCAGGGGACCAGTCCCACAGAAGTCCGTGCCGCCCCGAGACAGCGAGAGGCTGTGGGTGATGAGTCTCTGACCGAAGGCCCCACACACGAGCCGGCTGCATGGGAAGACACTCACCCGAAGACAGAGAAACCTAGACAGTGAGAGCAGCAGGGCCCCGGGGAGGTTGGGTTCCCGAGCTGAGTGAGTCAGCTATGGCA